CCCACCTCCTAGAGCACTGTACAATTTAGAACTGCTGTAGAATCCTCAAGCAGCTTCATCACGACATTTAATAACTAGAGAGGGGTTTTTAAACAAATAGGCACCCCTTCAGCAAGTTTCTTAATCTCCCTTGTACAGTGGGGATGTATTGATTAAGGTAATGCTAGCTGCTAAAACAAAAGTTTATTTCCCCCTTACAAGAGTCCCCTGTGGATGCTCCTGGGTGGGGGAGGCAGGGCTCTGCTCTGCACAGTCCGTCTGGGACCCAAGTTGATTGGGGGAGGGGGCGTGCTGTCTTCAGTGCTGCCTTCCAAGAGCCCCTGGGCTTTGGCATCCAGCCAGTGGAACAGGAAAGAGGAGTGCTCACGGGAGGTTTTTATGGGCCAGGCCTGGAAATGGCACGATTACATTCTGTGGCCACACCCATCTATGTGCAAAGGGAGGCTGGGAAATGTGATTCATCTATGTGCCCAGAGAAAAAGAGGACACGGATTCAGTGATCAGAGAGCCAGTCTCTGGCACAAGAAATGACATATTTACCTTGAGGGACTGTGATGAGGATTAAAGATGATGCGGTGATGTATGCTTGGCTCATTGGGGCTATTGGGGAGGGGGCCGAGGATGTAAAGGGGTGAGCAGTAGAATGCCCAAGCAGGGACTGGATAGCGGGCTGAGCTGGAGTAGTCACAGGTACAAGGGTGATGGCAGAGCAGACCCACTTAGGGCTAAGGGGTTTGAGTTGGGAGCATTCAGGTAGACACAAATGCTGCTCATCAAAGGGTTTCGGCACTGTGCCTTCAGGCTATGAGGTAGAAATGCACTTCCTGCCCCCGTCTGCCACCTCCCCACTCCCTACTCTCTCTCTCTCTCTTTCTCTCTCTCTCATCCCTCTATCCCCATTGGATGTGTGGTCATGTGACTAGTTCCGGCCAACAGGCAGAAGTGACATGTACCACTTCTGGACGGAGCTTTTAATTGCTCGCATAAGGCTGTCTAGAGGGCTCTTTGCCCTCTGCCGATGAACAGCAAACAGTATCGCAGAGACAACTGGCTCCGTCACCCTGGGTCCTGGAGAAGCACAACACAAAACGGAGCCTCTAGGCACCCAGGCAACATCTTGTTGTTTTAAGGCACTGGGATTTTTGAAGTTGTATATTACTGCGGCATAACCTAGTTTATTCTGATTGATATAGAAACCTTTTTTTCAGGCAAGAGGCATCAGATGGTCTGTGAACAAACAAACCAACAGAAAGGCATTCTTGTCCATTTTAGATCATCACTTCCAAGAACTAAGGGATCATGCTTTTAAGAACATAATTTGTACATTATTGCCTCAATGCAAGCAAAGGAAGTGCTTGATGGGCCTTGGATTATTTTAAATACTGATAAAATCAACTTTCAATAGAGCCCTAGACACACTCTCTTCCTTAAAAGATCATTAGTCCCAATTTAGAGAAAGATTAAAGCTACCAAATGCTAAAGAGAAATGTTAAGGACATATAATCAGAAGTAAAAGAAAAATGAAAATGGATGAGCTTTGGACGGAATTGTGGGCAGCTGTCTGAAGCACTTCTATGTAGGGCACAAATTTGGCTACTTTCCCTTCCTCTGGGATCTCTAGAACTGACCTCCTCAATTAGGGAGGCCTCCTGCACTGCTGGTTGCCTTGTGGGCCCTCCTAATGCTCTGGCCTGTGGACCAGCACTGTAATGTTTTCCTAACTTGTGCAATTCCATCTGGGATCTCACTCATATCATCCCACACTACAGATAACATGACCAAAAATACGATGAGTGAGAGACCATGACTTTGTAATATGTTCCTCTAGAGTAAAGCAAGTGATCCACCAGGAGACCCTAGTTTTGCTAACTTCAGGGTAAGAGGAAGCTTTGATGTTCCCAGCCAGCTGGTAGAGCTGCCTTAACCAGAGCTCAACAAGTAGACTATAAACTCCTTAGATACAAGAGCTATATTTTATTCATCTAACAGCCCAGTAATTAGTTAAGAGCCTGCTTTGGATTCAGCCAGATTCTGGCTTGAATATTGATTCCACCACTTAATAACTGGGTAACCCTGGCCACTTAACCTCCCTAATCCAGTGTCATCATCTGTAAAATGGGGATAATAATGTCTAACTCCATTGACTTGTAGAAATTAAATGGGGCACTTGTATGTAAAGCTTCTGGCGCAGCTCAAAAGTCTTTGTTGAGTGCTTTGAAGAACAGTGGCTTCTATCCAACCCAAAGTGTGTGATCTCAGAAGAAACTGTATGAGTCTCCATCAACTTTAAAGGAGAATTCCTTTGCCAGAAGCTGCAAATGCTATAAAGTTGGGGTTGAATGGATAGTGTTTACCTCAAGGGAAGGGACTGGTTTTCATTTTATCTGCATTATTTGAATTTTTGTATGGATTAAAAATACATGGAATTAAAAATAAATACAACGTATTTAAGGGAAAAAAAATGTTGCGTTGGCAGGGTTGCTGGCTTATTTACTGAATCTTTTTGCTCCTTCAGGGACAGCAAGAGCAACCAACAGAAAACACTAATAATTACCCATATTAGAACAACAGCCCCGTTCCCATATGGACCTGGGGGTAGAAACAAAGTATAATAATCCTTTATAGTTGCACCAAATCTTCTTTCCCAAGACTTTACACTAGCTTCCATATATTATCTTTATCTCCCGTAGGTCTTTGGGGTGGTTTCCATCCCTCCCTGCCCCCAAGCAACTGTAGGAGGGGAGAAACTGAGGCAGGTTGGGGGAGAGGGCCTCCTCCTGCTCTCAACCCCGGGACCCAGGCGGTTACCGCCGTTTCAGGCCCCCGCTCCCCCGGAGGGCCCAGGCAGCTGGCAGGAGGGCCGGGCCCGGCCGGAGCCGCGCGTAGACCAGGCCGGCCAGGCCCAGGGGGCGGGC